GACACCCCTTCCGCAGCCCCTGGGCCTCTTTTTCCTCTGAGCTCTGACCCCTCTGCTCTGCCTTCCTGGTCATCGGCCCAGTTTGCAGTGTTGGTTTCTGCCGGCTAATGCCGAGGTCAGGGGGTAGGAAACCAGCTTGGGAGTGAGACCTGCACTCCATCCGGGCTCTGTCCTGCCAGCTGGGCGACGGGCAGAGCTCCTTCCCCTCCGAGTCCAGTCCCCCCCCCGCCCCCTTGTAAAATGGAAATGAGAGCAAAGCATGGCAAGCATGGCTAACGCGTCCCTGGGTCGTAGCATTCCAGGTGCAGTGTGGCCGCCACCCACGGAGGCGGGGACATCCGTGCCTCCTGCCAAAGGTCACCAGAAACGCAGCTGGTGAACAGGCTGGGCGTGTGACTCAGCGCGCAGTGGGCCCGCGGGCTGAGAAAGACGGGCTGGTGCTGCAGGGCTGTCCCAGTGACTGTGAGCCTCAGGAGCGCAGGGACAAGGCTGGGGGATGGGTGACTGGCTTCTTAGAACCTGCCGTGTCCCCATTCTGACCCCCAGACCCATCTTGTCTCCAATACTCCAGCCCTCTCTGTCCCAAACGGCAGGGCCAGCAACTCAAATCCTCACCGCAATTGGCCACGAGACCTGTACAAACAGAAGTCATGACGCCTGGGCCCCTCGGGAAGGACACAGCACGGGAGCCCACAGCTCTGGCCCCAACTCAGATTCCCATGCTCCTCTGCGCCTTTCCAAACCCCACACGACAAACTCTCCGGGAGGTGGGAGCAGCAAGGACAGCCTTGCACATGGGGGCCGCTCGTGGCTTGTTAAGTCAGCTGACCTTTTCCATTGATTTTTAGAGAGAGTGGAAGGAAGAGGGAGAGACACAGAGGGAAACTTCGATGTGAGAGAGGCACATCCATTGTTTGCCTCCTGTATGCACCCTGATCAGGTCTATCCACTGAGCCAAACCAGCCAGGGCTCAGTTTCCTCATCTGTAAAACAGGAGTAGGTAATTATTCCCACCTCACAGGGTCATCATGAGGACTGAAAGCGATGACACAAGAGGTGTCCAATTCACGCCTGGCACATAGTAGGTGCTCGCTGGGCGCTCCTCCCCCGTGTTGTCCAGCTTTGCCTCCCCAGCCCAGGTGTGTGTCCGGGAAGGTTTCTGAAGAGGCGACTTCTGAGCAACACCTGCATGGGCCAAGCAGTGAGCCCTCGGATCTCTGGGGAGGAACAGGTGTGTTTCCTCCAAACTTCCACATCTGATCCAGCCTCCTCCCTCTGCCCGCTCCCCACCCCCAGCAGTCTCTGGTAAGTCCCTCCTGGGACCCGCTCAGACACTGGGGCAGCTTGCTGGCCTCTGGCTTCCTGAGCCATCCCTCCCCAGCACCTCTGCCCTCTAGGGGACTGGGGCCGACTCAGCGCCGGAGCAGCACTTCCATCAGGCCTCTTCGCACAGGCCCCTGAGCTGCAGGAGCTTTCTCAGCCTCCCAGCCCCGCCCTCTGACCTGTCTGCTCCCTGCCTCAGCTTTAGCACCCCCTGGTGGAGGACAGGGGTAGGGACCGCTCTGCCCCCGTGGCCCTCACCGCTGCCTTGCCGGGGCCCCTGAGGGTAGACTTTTCCCCTTCACAGGTACACCGCCCTGGCCCTCACTCCCCCACCCACCACTACACCCCGAGACCCACATCCCTCCACCCAGCCTGCAGGACTGGCCCTCGGTCCAATCCTGTGAAGGTGCGGCCGGGGGTCCTTCTGTGGGATTCTGCTCTGCTCCTGTGACCTCTGCGTTGTCCTGTGTGGTATTCCGCGCGGCTGCCTTCACTTCTTGTTGTCCCTGCGTGGTGGCATCTCCCCTGGAGCGACACCTCGGTGAGGGTGAGGGCCAGGGCCAGGGCCAGGACAGCTGCCTCGCCACTGCTTCGCCCCACCCCGTGCGGGCCGGCTGAGCTGCTCAGGGAAGCTTAGCGAATGGTGAATCAAGGATTTTTTATTATTT